AAAAAAAAAAATTTATTGATTTTCTTTTTATACATGACAGCAGAATGCATTACAATTCATATTACTCATATAGAACACATTTTTTCATATCTCTGGTAGTATATAAAGTATATTCACACCAATTCATGAATTCATACATATACTTTGGATAATAATGTTCATCACATTCCACCATCATTTCTAACCCCCTGCCCCCTCCCTTCCCCTCCCACCCCTCTGCCCTATCTAGAGTTCATCTATTTCTCCCATGCCCCCCTCTTCCCTACCCTATTATGAATCAGACTCCTTATATCAGAGAAAAAATTCAGCATTTGTTTTTTTGGGACTGGCTAACTTCATTATCTTCTCCAATGCCATCAATTTACCTGAAAATGCCATGATTTTATTCTTTTACTGCTGAATAATATTCCATGTGTATATATGCCACATTTTTTTAATCCATTCATCTACTGAAGGGCATCTAGGTTGGTTCCAATCAAACTACTCTAAGATTTCATCCTACTCCTGTCAGAATGGCAGCTATTATGAAGACAACAGTAAGTGTTGGAGAGGATGTGGGGAAAAAGGTACACTCATACATTGCTGGTGGGACTTCAAATTGGGGCAGCCAATATGGAAAACAGTATGGAGATTCCTTGGAAAACTGGGAATGGAACCACCATTTGACCAGCTATCCCTCTCCTTGGTCTATACCCAAAGAACTTAAAAACAACATACTACAGGGACACAGCCACATCAATGTTTATACCAAATAGAGCTTTTTAAAGGACAATATTTTAAAATTTATAAGGCACAAGAGATGACACAGTAAAAAAAGTTTCCCTACCACTTTTGTTTGCATCACCCTCCCTGCCCAGAGGCAGCTACTGTTGCTAGTTCTTGAATTCACCTGAGTCCTAGCACGTGGACAAAGAGTCCATTACATGTTCACTCTTACTCCTCTCTGACCACACAGCAGCACCCTGTGCTGCTTTCTTTCAGTTAGCATAATTTTACAGAGTATTCCTAGGTACACACAAATAGCCTCCTCATTGTTTCTTATGTCTGTGTGAGCTTCAGCTGAGGCTTCACTTTCATTTATTTGGTAAGCCCCCTGGAGTGAACTCTGGGGCTCCTTCCATCTTCTGGCTCCCTAAAAATAATGTGATGAATGGGAATATACACATTCACTAATATGCCCAGAGGAAGAGAACTTGAAATCCTAATAAACACTGAGTGTCCACCATGAGGTTGTACCATTTGTCTTCCCAATAGAATGGTTGGCTCCTTTCAAAATCTCTTGGCCAGTTTTCCTCTCCCTACCAAATGCCAACACACAGCCTGGTTCTCTGATTTTCACCATTCAGAGCTCGGCATCCAAAGCACTCTCCTAAGTCTGCCCACCCCATCCTTACCTTAAGTTTCTCTGAATGCAGAAGTTCCTCCTTAATCTCTTTCAGTCTTGCCTCCCGAATGGACTGCTTAGTCACTGAGCGCATGGCATCCTGTAGGCAGACATTGGTGATCAGATGGTGAGATTTCCCAAGTCCTTCTCACACCTGGATACGCATCCATAGGTGTCATCCCTGTTATCACAATCATAGCCCGCCCCAGCCACTCCCCATCCTCTCCCCAGTGTCCAGCTCACCCTGCATCGATAGCGGAAACCCTCGATTTCCTCCATTCGGAACTGGTAGGGAAGCAGGACAGGGGCCTCGCCCTCTGGGGAAGAGACAGCAAAGGGACTCAGGACAAGAGTCCATTTAAGGTCTTCACTGGCAGTTTCCTACTCCTTCTCCCTGAGGTGAGGCTGATCCCTGAGAGGCCAAACACACAATTTCACTGTTTCATGAGCAGCCTAGTGATGGTATGGACAGGAGTGTATATTTCTAAGTCCTGTGTGCCATCACATCCCTCAGTTCCAGGACCCACTGCCCACTCTCCCTTCCTCTTCCAAAGTTGCTCTGGCCACAAGGCCCCCACAACTATGGTCATGGACAGAAGTCCAGGCCCAGTTAGTACCTTGGAATGAGCTGTCAGAGCAGTACGTTAAAACACTCACCAGTCATGAGGCAGACAGTAAATGTGACTTTGTTTTTAATTTGTTAGTATACCTGACTTTGAATGGACATATTTACTCATTTGTAAAGGGAGATAGCACCTGTCACACAGGATAGGATGAGGATGAACAGTGGAAGCTGCCTATTGTCACTATTATGAGTTTGTTGTGGGAGAAGCCTGATCCTCACCCAGGCCCATACCAATAAGAGTCAGGACTCTTACCTCCACAGAGAAGTTCCTCGATCTTGCCCAAGTATGACTGCTCTGTGGGTAGCACAAATGTCAAAACTATGCCTGGGTTGTTGGCTCGCGCTGTCCTGCAAGGGGAGATGACCTAGCTGAAATGTATCTCTGGCATTTAAGTTCTATCCAGCCCACCCCAAGTCCTTCAGCATGCCCATCACCTAGATGCCAGGCCCACCACATTCCTCCCTACCTGCCAGCTCGATGGATGTAGGCCTCCGGGGTGGAGGGGAGATCAAAGTTGAGCACAGCAGACACATGGTGGAAGTCTATGCCCCGGGCCACACCTGACTCTGGATCAGAGGCCCTGTGAAAATAACCCAATGTCAGCTAGACCCATCTCTGGGAGGGCATTCTCAAGCCTAAGCCAAAAAAACCCCTCTAAGCAAAACCTAAAGACCAGAAGACCCTGGTATATGCAAGACTATTCTACATCAGAACTATTTCAGGAGTTGTGGCCTTGTGGATCAGCCTAAAGCTTTGAAATGTGGTCAAACCCTTGCCCTGAACTCAGTTTTGGGGCAATGACAGAACTCTCTGCCCCACAGAGTGAATTGAGAACTACCTCTGGAACAATTCACTCTTCAGGTGGACAGACTAGGGGACTTCCGTTTTTCCCTTAAAAACATACATCCTGTAAGACATGCACTTCAGGCTGGCTGTCTCCCCTGTAGGATAGCACATGCCAATTTCCCAAGCCCAGTCTGACCCTTGGTGCCCTTTAATCCTTGTTACGATTTTGATTTGAAGTGTCCTTCAAGAGCTCATGTGAGAGACAATGCAAGAAGGTGTAGAGGTGAAATGATTGGATATGAATCAACGTAATTAATACATTAATTCCCTGATAGGACTGACTGGATGGTAACTATAGGCAAAATAGGGTGTGGCTAGAAAAGATGGGTCATTAGGGTTATGCCTTTGGGTATGCATTTTGTCCCTGAAGAGAGAAGCTTTCTCTCTCTGCTTCCTGGGTGCCATGTTCCCAGCTGCTTTCACCTACCACACTCTTCTGTCATGTGGTTCTGCTCCAAAGAATGGAGCTGACTCTCTATGGACTGAAACCTCTAAAACCATGAGCCCCAAATAAACTTTTCCTCCTCTAAATTTTTCTGGCTAGGTCTTTTGGTCACAGAGGAAAAAAGAAAGCTGGCTAAAACACTCCTCTTCTCCATACTCAAGTAGCTAAGCAAGGGCCAGTGGAGCTCTCTGGGATATGCTACCAAACATCTGGAATGTCTGGCATCCTGCTCTGTGTACTCTTAGCTTCAGTCTTCCAAAAAGCTGAAAAACAGGCACCTCTGAAGAAGAGGTCAAAAAAGAAATGCAAACTCACTTGTTTCCTTTGGACCCTCGACCCTGCCGCTTGCCCTTGGCTGGGGCCCCCAGGACTTCAGCATCTGTTGCTATGACACAGTCATAGAAGCCTTGGTTGAACTGTGAGATGATGTGGCACCTGTAGACCAAGAGGTGGGATCAGGCCAGCAGGGTGTGTGGGAGGCCCACTCCCATCCCTGGCCATCATCATAACGACTGCCCTTTCCTATTCTGTCCCCATCTCTTTCTCCTTAATCTTTGTACCTCAATTTCCTCAGATGAAAATGGATTAACAATAAATATTCCAGAGTTGTCAGAAATAACTACCAGTCAAGCTCAGGCCTAGCCCCACTAATATACTCAAGAAACATGAACATCAGCTGGTTCCCTTTTCCATCCCTATCTTCAACTTATCTCCACCAAGACATGGGCCATGACAAACCTGGAGCGCAGGGGAAGTTCTCCATTGAGTACGCAGGTGGGGATGCTGAACTGCTCCAGGAATAGACGGAGCCGGTAACTCCGCTCTAGAGTATTGACAAAGAGCAGGGACTTGCCCCGAATCAACGACAGCTTGAGCAGAGCATACAGCAGCAAGAATTTGTCTTCTTCAGTCTCACAGACTACCTGAAACTGCTGTAACTGGTCTGATCCTGGAAGCTGAGACTCTTGTAACTTGAGGGTAACCTGAGGAGAGAAAAGGCCTGTAGTAAGGACAAAAAACAGATATTCTATGGCCATTAACTCACCAACAAAAGCATCATTTTAGTGCAGGGCATGGATATGTTTAAGGATTTCTGGCATGCTAAAATTCCTGTAGTTTTGCAATCTAAAAACTCAAGTGCCCTAACTTTGGGATATACAGAAAGGGGGAAAAAATAAACAATCCACAAAGCACATGATGCATAGGACAAAGAGAGATACATTGATAAATTACAATAGCGAGTATGGAAAGCCTACAGCAATAGGTCTTCTGAAGGGTAAAATTCAGATCTTCTGAAAGGTAAAATATAACATTGAAAGCTTTGGCCTTAGAATTTTGGCTTTGCCACTCAAAGCAGATGGTGGAGGCAGGGTGTAAGGAAGGAACTTTGCTTAGGCTTTTAGACAAAGTATAGTTTGAACTGGGACACCCAGAAATATGTTGTGATTTTTATTTTAAAATACTTTAAATGTCAATGGACCTTTATTTATTTATACGCAATGCTGAGAATCAAACCCAGTGCCTCACACATGCTAGGCAAGCACTCTACCACTGAGCCACAACCCCAGCACAATGTTAGTAAATTTTAGATGACTGTCTTTCAGTGCCTCAGACCAGGAAAGACATATCCAATGACAATGGTCCCACCCAAAACACCAAAGGACCTCAGAAGGAGCATCAAATCCTCCAAGTATTCCCATGTCTACAGCTCCAGATATTCCCACAGCATCCCTTACCGGATTATGTAGTACCAGTTCCTTTAATGCTTGTATATCCTCATTAAATGTAGCTGACATGAGAAAAGCCTGGTAAATCCGGGGCAAGTGACTGAAAGAAAAAAATCTAGTCAGGCTCCTACTCCAAGGACCTCTAAATGTGGTCTCTACTCAAAGACATTTCCACTAGGAAACTACACCACTACCACCACCATCACCATTTCTTCCTCACCAGAGTAGACTCTTCAGTTCTTCCTCAAAGCCAAAGGAAAAAATAAGATCAGCCTCATCCACCACCAGCAGCTCCAGGGAGTCACGCAGTTTCAAGTTGTCTTGTTGCAAGTGGCTTAATATACGGGATGGGGTCCCCACCACTACATCTGGCTTCTCCATCAGTACAGCTCTACAGGTGGTAAGAAATGGGTATCAAGAAGAACTTGGCAGCTGGAACTTCACCCTGGACCTGTGCTCTCTCCTACTACACACAAACCCATCCTACATCTTTGTGTAGCTTCATTCCCTTTCACTCACCTCTGAGAAGCTGAGTCTTCAGCAGCTGAGACATTGGCCACCCGCACATCCCGAGAACAGTAGGCAGACAGCTGCTGAATCATGGACTGAGCTTGCCGTGCTAGCTCCTTGGTAGGAACAAGGACAACTCCCCTTACAGCCTGTTCCACCACAGGACCTGTCTGTAAGACCATAAATTACAGGTTATAGCCAGCAGTGAATATCAATGGGTCCAACCAATGCTTTTCTCTATCTTTTCCAGGCAATCTGGTCCAACCACAATCCTGTCCATAGAACAACCTGTGTTCTGATCATCCCCTCATTCTGCCCACCTCAGAAAATAAAATGGAGGGCTTTCCCTGGGTGCTGACAGAAGAAAATAACTTCCTCTGTGTGTAATGAAGTTACTGTGTGTTATGAAGTTATGAATGCTAGGTATGAACCTGTACTCTCACAATAACTCTGTAAGTAGAAGATGTGCCTGGCCCCTTTTCATTGAGGAAAGCAAAGAAAGTGACTGTAATCTTATTACAAGATTACACCAAGCTGGTGGAGAGGCAGCACGTCCTGGATTAAGATCCAGGTAACYTAAAGCCCAACCCAGGACGTTTGCCACAATGGGACCCGACTGATTCTATGATCCAAGAGAAAGCCTCGTACGAACTGGGACCTCCCTTCCCAGCCTCCCGTCCGGCCTCCGACTACCCACCGCCTTCCTGTGGAGCAGCAGCTGTAGCATCGGAATAGCATAAGCAGCTGTCTTCCCGGAACCAGTGCGGGCCCGGGCCAGGAGGTCTTTCCCCTCTAGGGCCAGCGGGATAGCCTTTTCTTGAATCAACGTAGGTCGCGACCATCCCAGATCGGCGACAGCCTAAGAAAGACAGACGAAGAGTGCAGTTCAAGCGGTGCGGAGGGCAGTGGCGTGCCCTGAGAGCCCTTAAGCCGGATTCTCAGCCCTCCCCGGTACCTGCAAGAGCCGGGGATCCAGGCCCATGTGTTCAAAGCCCAAGGATTCTGGGTCCGCCATGGCGTGGTTCGGGACTGACAAGGAGCACGCGCAGCAGGAAGAAATCAAGGACACGGGCGGGGCGACTCAAAGCAACAACCAATCAAGCTCAGAGAAACCGCCACTTTACGGAAGTCCCGTCTCTCAGGCTTCCGGTGTTCGGGGGGGAGGTCAGAAGTAGGGCTGCTGGTTGCTGTCGTCTCGAATCTCGCGACGCAAACGCTCACCCGGATTTTTTTCTGCACTTTCTAGCTCTCGCGACTTTCAGGAGTAGCGTTAGCGGGACTTTCTCCGCTTGGGTGCTGTTAGAATCCAGCCTTAGTGTGGCGCAGCAGTCCTCGCGGAGCCACTGAGGCCAGTTGACGGGCTGCGGGCAGATCACTGCAGTAGCGCTCAGGGGAAGGGCGGTGGTCTGGAGATCCCAGACCTGGCTGTCGTCAGGCTCTTGATAGCTTACAGTTCTATGGATCACTAGTTTAACACTAGTTTCACAGGTTAAAATCAAGGTATCGGGCTTTTGACCTTCAGAGATGTCAAGATAACGTTTGTTGTTTAAAGCCACTCCGTTTGTGATAATGTTACAGCAGCAGTAGGAAACGAATACAAGCAGAGACAAGAAGCCTTACCACAAGGAGCTTTAAAAGTGGGAGAGGCCTGGCGGGATGGCTCACGCCTGTAATCCCAGCGGCTCGGGAAGCCGAGGCAGAAGGATCTCGAGCTCAAGCTAGCCTCAGCAATTTAGCCAAGCGCTAAGCAACTTAGTGACCCTCTGTAAAATACAAAATAGGGCTGTGGCTGAGTAATCGAGTGCCCCCGAGTTCAGTCCCCGGTAACGACAAAAAATGGTGTGAGAAGCCGGGCCTGGTAGCGCAGCGTGTAATTCCAGTAGCTGAGGAGGCTGAGCCACGAGTTCAGAGCCAGCCTCAGCAATTTAGCAAGGCTCTAGGCAATTTAGTGAGACCCTGTCTCCAAAAGGGATGGGAGGCAGGGGTTGTAGCTCAGTGGTAGAGCGCTTGCCTAGCACATGAGGCAGTGGGTTTGACTGATCCTCAGCACCACATACAAATAAACGTATTGTGTCCATCTACAATTTTAAAAGTTCCTTATTTTTTTTTAGTTATAGGTGGACACAATATCTTTTTTTTTTTATGTGGTGCTGAGGATTGAACCCAGTGCCTCATGCATGCCAGGCAAATGCTCTACCTCTGAGCCACAACCCCAGCCCCTTAAACAATTTTTCAAAAAAGGGTGAGGGGCTGGGATTGTGGCTCAGAGGTAGAGTGCTCACCTAGCAGGGCGGGACGCGGGTTCCATCCTCAGCACCCATAAAAATAAATGCATTGTGTTGTGTCTATCTACACCTAAAAAAAAGGGGGGGGGTGAAGTGCTCCTGGCTTCAATCCCCGGTACCAAAAATAAATAAAAATAGAAGAGGCAAGCTGCAGATAAGATTCTAGGACTCAACCCACTAGGGTTGGCTTTGTAGATGGGTGACAAGACAAACTGCCCAAGTGGCCAGGGATGGATTATTTACAAGTCATCAGACCTTTGTGTTCATATTAGGTTCACCCAAACGGCCCAGAATAATCTTCCTATTTTAAAATCATCTGATTTACAACCTTAATTGATGGGTTAATGGTCACAGATTTCTAGAACTAGGACATAGACACATTTGGGGGGCCATTATTCTGCCTACCATTACACCCAAATACAAACCTGATAAATCAGAATGGATCTTAGCGTTTCCCAGGAGTATACCTTGAGCTTCCAGGGTCATTCTGTGCATCCAGCTCCCCTGATCCAACATTTGAATACCAGAGACAACAGGTTGTTGAGAATAGTTTATGTATCACAAGTACCCGAGGCTGAGACCAAATGATGAAGATAGGGGAACCAGGCTAGGATAACAGTGAATGTTAARAATGTGTGCTCCCCAACCCACACTTTCTTTTTCCTGGTAAAATAGGAGAGAAGAGTCAGGTGCGGTGGCACATGCCTGTAATCCCAGTGGCTCAGGAGGCTGAGGCAGGAGGATTGCCAAGTTCCCTTGTGTTAATTCTAACATGGAAACTGAAAAGCTGTTTTAAAAATCTGAAGAATTTTCACTGGACTATATTATGTGGCACGCAGAATTAGATTATGTCAATTTTTTTTTTCATTTCTTTGCCATCTCTTTGCAAACTAGAATTCTTAAAATGAAAACCCAATAGAGGGGCTGGAATTGTGGCTTAGTGGTAGAGAGCTTGCCTGGCATGTGTCAGGCCCTGAGTTCGATCCTCAGCACTACATATAAATAAATAAAATAAAAAGATCCATTGACAACTGAAAAAAAAAATTAAATTTTTTTTATAAATTACATATTTTTTTAAAGAATAAAACTAAATAACTATTGAATAGTGTGGGGCACAAAGAGAAATAACAAGGGAAGAATTTAGTTCTGTAGGTCAGATAAAGTAATTTAATAAATAATATTCCAAATATATTTATAATAAAATTATGAAATAAAATGTCAGGAATGGGCAACTAATAATAAAGTTTTTATACAGAAGAAGGGCATCATTAACTGTTCAAATTTATGACTCAGGGGCTAAGAAACCAAGTACATAAGTTTCCTCACATGTCCTTGCTGAAATGTTCTCCACTTGGTCGGCCTGAGAATGGTTAAGCAACCACTCTGTCCATTCTTAGTTTCCCAGAAAGAGGTCTATCCAAGCCAAGCCCTAACACAGTCCACACTAAGGTCCATGCCAGATCACCCACCCTGGGTGACCAAGAATTTTTCCTCTTTCCCTTTTTGCTTCTCCTCTGCCCACAACCTCTTATTTCATCTCAAACACAACTACTGTAAGACGTTTTATTTAATTGGAAAAATCTGGATAAAGAACCAAATTTCGTTCCCTTGAAGAAAACATTACCACAGTTTAAATAAATTGGGAAGAGGGGGGATAAGAGTGCTCTGTCCATACTGGCTCTTTCACTGTCTTACCTGACTCTGAGGCCCTATCAGATGGGAATCACAGGTGTCCAAGAGAATTCTGCTAGGCCTTCTAACATGGCCTTAAGAGCAGCTGTTAACATCTGCTTCTGGCCCACAGACTGCTGAAATCCTGAGAGCTGCCATGGCAGTTATAAAAACGTGTGAATAAACAGAATGCACAAGGACTAGATTGGTGTTTTCAGCTAGTTACAGGCAGTAACACTTCAACTAGGAAGGAAAATATATAATTTATCAAAAAATAGTTCTAATATATAGAAAAACATCTCGATCCTCTGGGGCCAAGACCTGCCCCTTATTTACATTCACAAAGCCATTGAGTGAACCAAGTAACTGGCTAAGGAACAGTGAGGCAAGGCCTCCTTTGTGGGGTATGCCAGTCACCTACTGTGTAATCAGATGAAGAAAAAACAGAAGGTCATTTGCTCATTTTTTGAGAGGACAGGGGAATCACTGGAGGCAAAAGAGAAGACTTGTCTTGTATTAGTTTCAATTCCTTATAAGCCCTAAAATAGAATTTGAAATCTTGGACCAATGTCCTGTGTCCATGAGAATCAAGGTTAAACAAGTTACTGATCAGAATGGTTTGTTGCCATAGTACCAACATGTCATATTCTTTTGCATTTTTTCCCCCTCAAAATCCAGGTGGTTAAGGGATTGGTTGGAGAAAGTACCAAAGAACTAAAGTAAAAAGGGTCATACGGAGAGGACACTACACCAGCTTCTTGGCCTCAAAGAAGCTCTTGAGATGACGCATCTGCCAAATGCCAGTAAGGATAAGGATGACTGTCTGAGCGATGGACCACCACAGGACCCTCTGGTTGGTACTCTCACTGGTCAGACGGAAGCGTTCTTCACGATACTGCATGGGGTAACAGACACAAGGTTAAACGAGCAGGAGAAATTATCCTGAAAATTGTGAGGTCCCTCTGTGACAGTGACTGCTTAATTCCAGGACCAAATACTTATTGGAATATCACCTGTGATTCCATTAGGGGTGCCACAGTCTCCCCATATATAAAAACTGTCTCAAGGAAGGAACAGTGCTGTCACCTCCACAAGCATCTCTGCTGGGACTGAAATCATGCTCCTTTTACAAGGTCCTAAGCTACTCAGCAAGATCTTGACCCTAAATAAAATATATTTTTAAAAAAGGAGCTGGGGAAGCCGGGCTCAGTGAAACAAGCCTGTAATCCCAGCATCTCAGGAAGCTGAGACAGGAGGATAACAAGTTCAAAACCAGCCTCAGCAATGGCAATGTGCTAAGCAACTCAGTGAGACCCTGTCTCATTATAATACAAAATAGGACTGGGGATATGGCTCAGTGGCCAAGTGCCCCTAAGTTCAATACCTGGTACCCAGCCCCAAAATGGGTGGGTGGGTGGGATGTGGCTTAGTGGTAAAGCATGGCTGGGTTCAAACCCTGGTACCAAAAAAATAAAAAGGCAACTAAAGCAAATGGGACTCAGGCAAGGTGGCATATGCCTTTAATCCTAGCGACTCAGAAAACTGAGGCAGGAGGATCACAAACTCAAGGCCAGCATGGGTAATTTATTGAGACCCTGTTAAACTAAAAAGGGCTGGGGATGGAACTCAGTAGTTGAATACTTGCTGAGCACATGTGAAGCCCTGGGTTCAATCCCTAGTACCACACCCCCTCCCAAAAAAGCAAAATTGGGTCATACATGCAATTGAATATTATTAAAGCTTAAGAAGGAAAGAAATTCTGACAATGCTACAACATATCTGAACCTTGGAGATCTCATAAGACAGTCACAAAAGGAAGAATACGCTATGATTCCCCTTATTTGAATTAGAACAATCAGGAGCATAGACAAAATAGAACAGGAACTGGGGAGGGAAATGGGTAATTTGTTTTTTGTTTGGTTTTTTGGTGGTGCTGGGGTTTGAACCCAGGGCCTTGTACATGCAAGGCAAACTCTAGCAACTGAGCTATATCCCCAGCCTGAGTTAGTATTTAATAGGTACAGATCTTCTGTTTTGGAAGGTGAAAATCTACTTTTAAATACTAACTCTGGAGA